GGCAGCAGCAAGCACAGGACCAAGTTGACTGTCGGAACATGGGGAGGACTTTGTCCTACAGTGGGTGTAGTCAGGCTGGTGATGATTATGACGACGCCATGAAGAAAAAATTTTCAGGGAGTGGCATGGGCCCGATGTGCCATCCCCTGGCTACGGCACCGTTACAAACGGGAGATTCCATGAGAAATCGGCATGAATCCGAAAAGTAATATCATGGTCCTTTAATACTTTTTTTCTGGTCATAAAACTCCCGCGAAAGTTTCATATGGGGACAAAAGTGGCCACCAGAGGTGCGACACAGTAAGCAAGAGGGCATCAATCGGCCCTGCTTGGCCGAGCTGTAGCGCGTTCACGCGTTTCCCATCAGATACACTTCTTCAGATATTTTCGTTCTCAGTGTTCTCGCTAAGAAATCATAGCAGCTATTAGTATTAGACAGATTTAGGTGCGCGTCCACAGCAGCCGTATGGACACAGCCCCCCATTGCGAATAGCTGGCAGGCTGTGTCCGTATGGCTGCTGCGAACGCGTAACTAAATCTGTCTATTGTCAAAGTGGCCTATGATGCGCGTTGTTAAATTGGCTAAGTCTTTGATTGCTGCCAATGTTTTAACTGAGTCCGTCTGTCAAGTGACGTGCATTCATAGCGTTCCTAAATTTCTCAATTTCTGCTTAATCGCTTTCGGGCTTAAACCGAACACTGTAACTGGTTTTAGATGACTGAAAGATTAACATAGTTTGCACTAGAGATTGCGGAACAGCCGTGTTCCAGCTGCACACAACGTTCATTCGGAATTGTCACTTTATTCTATACGGCATCATGAAGAAGACAATATAAGTTCGCGTGCCAATAAACAAATTTGTATATTAAGGTCACTTGGCAATTAATAGCCTTGAAGTACCTCTTGAGGGATATCGTTAGTGATAAAGCCGAAAAATTAAAAGCTCAGAAATAAACACCACAAGACTGAGAAGGATGCTCAAGTTGTGTTATTTTCTTTTTAATTTCATGTCATAAATTTCTCCCTTGATCTTAAAGATCAAAAAATGAGATAAAACTGTTGTGAGCTGCTAGATATAGGCACTACGGGCTATTTCAATGCACCGGTCTATAATGAGCTTCTCACGGTCTGAAAGCTTGTGAATATCTGCATACACTCCATTATTTCTATTCGCGTGCACATCTGCTTTTGTCAGTTTCCGCTGGCATAATTGAAGCTGGTGCTTCATGCTGCGAAGTCGGGCCTTTACTCTCTGCAGCTTTGATGCTGAACAAACGGTGACCTCTGTTTCACACTCTGCATCAGCATAGCCATTGTAATTCTCAGTTCTCACAACAGCTGCAAATAGTGAGAAAGCGCAAAATTTATAGGGGAAGGAACCAATTTGGTTAGCGAAGTGAGCGGATAGAATACTTGCAAGCTTTGTGCCAGACTTTTGCGACTGCCGCATCACAATCCGGAGAAAGCTTTTGCCGCCTTTTTAGAAGTGGGCGCTTCGTTGCATGCGAATGCTGTTTCGGTTTGGAGAAGTAAGAAGGCAAACCTTCGAAAATCCTTGGCACGGCGTCTTCCACTAGTCTCGGTCGTTCTCGAGCACTGAAATGATGACTCCGTTCACTGTGCATACGTCTGCACGTAAAATGTCACTGGAATCGAAATGTTTTTCACACACGTGAGCGCTTTTTGAGTCGAACGAAAATCCGGCAGTCTTATCTTGGGATGACACGTTTCCACCTGTAACGTTGTTCAGCGTTGGCTGGGAAACAGAACAGGGAAACTTTTTCGACAGCTGGGCTGGCTTGCTCACTCCTCTATCTACGCCAGCGCCACAGCACGGAAAGTGAGGGCGGCGTATGAAGGTCTCTCATTGAGTGATGTGGGAGTTTCATGACCAGAAAAAAAGTATCAAAGGACCATGGTAATATGTCAGAAGTGAACTTTATTGCCGAATAGATAAACATGTTTAAACAGCAAAGATGGTGGGATAAAAGCTGCATGTAAGCAGCTTGACTAGTCCCACCTTCGGTTGAGTGCAGTAAAATCTCGTTAATTGGAACTCTGTTATTTTAAAATCCCACTTAATTCAAAGTATTACCACAGTCCCGTATTTTACAACGTAAGTTTGCACGGTTAATTTGAAGCGGCGGTCAGCACAAGTCTGGTTAATTCGAAAACTTTGGGTGTAGTGTGCCCATTCCAGATCCTGATTTCGCCGTAAGTCCGTGGAAACGACAGACCTGAAGAGCCACTAGGCAATGTACTCTAGCGATACTAATGAGTGGTAGTTTAAGCACCCCTGCCTTGCTACTTCCAGCATGAAAAATGAAATTATATAAAAAATAACGGTCTCGTAATTAACTAAAATATGCACCTGTGGAAAACAAAATGTGCTTCACTGCAAGACACCAGTGACGTGCGGGTAGCTGCATGCTTCTTGCAACGTCAACGCATTACGATTTATCCATTCTTTCCGAGAATTTAAAAATTAATAAAGGACAGTCTGTATAAATCCGTAATGTATGCGAACTTCTGAGTGCTGGTTGCTCCAGCAATTCGCGCATTTCCACAGCTGCCGGAGTTCTTTCCTGCAACGGCCACTTTGAAAACTTGGGTTCAAAGCTTCAATGGTGCTGTTTTCCAGCCAAAACACAGTGAATTTCGTCACACTGTCCATTATTAAATTCCTTATTCTACGAAAAAAAATGGGCGAATGGTCACATCATAACGTGCTGACGCAGCAAAGAGCAGGCGACATGCTGCCCGCATGTCATTACTGTGTTGCAGTGTTTTACGCAAGTGCGAATTTCAGTAGGTAATGTTTTCTTTTTTTTTCTTGAGCTGTGACAGCAGCTAGGCTCGAAATTTCATCTTATTTGCGGCAAAATTGTGACCAGTTATTGCTAGAAAATATGACCCTCAGAGCCACAAACTAGCCAGCACAGCAAATGACCAGCCCTGATTAATTTGAATAATTTCAAGTTCCTTGCATTCCACATTTTGTATGTTCCGTTAATATGAAAACCGGCTTAATTCAAAGATTTCTCTGGTCCCAGTGGCTTGGAATTATCAAAGTTTTACTGTATTTCATATTTTATGCATCCAGCACCAGTAGCCCAAAAAGGAACTCAGTTTTCTTTTCAACTGCATAATTTACGAGGCAAAAAATATAGAACACATTAAACACAGAGAGAGTAACTTTATCACCAGTCGTTCTCCAAAGTTCATAATAATGTGACACACAAATATTGCCGTTCAAATGAAGACATTTTGTGTACCAAATTTACGCACAACAAAAAGTAAGGGAACATTGTTTAAAACTTGTATAGTGAAGAAAACTATTTTTGGAAAATGTCTAAACATGGGAGGTTTTATTACACTTGTAACAAAATAGTTGCTACAAGATTGATTTGTTACGAAGTTGCTTTTAAAACAAGTTTTGCCTTTTCTATCCGCTGTGGCAGCTACGTTTTTGTTTATTGAACTCCTGAGCCAGGGAGGCTGATCTTAACACACCCACATAAAAACTCGCAATTTTTTTGCTGAAACTATACAGGCTAAATCTAATGAGAAGTGTTTATACACAAATTATTTTTCTGTGCACTCTCAGAATAGGCCTTTTCTGTGTAGGTCACCTGCGCATGCACACCGATGTTGATGAGGCACGCACCATAATTTATGGTGGACCAAACAAGTCGACAGGAGAGGACCAAGGGATATCTGATGCCACAAGCGTGCAAATATCCCCCCCTCCCTCTCTCTCCCCTCCCCTCAAAAAAGTGGCAATGCAAACCTCCGCGATTGCCTACTGGTGCATGGCAGGCATTTACAGAGGCCAAAGACCACCAGTTTAAATTTCGACGATCTCCACTGGAGGAACTGTTCGGACCAGGAAAAAGCCTACTACTGTAAATTTCTTGAGAGCTCAGTGACTCTTTCTTTGTGACTAGAGTGGATGATTGAATATCATATTGTGTATAATCTCGCATTGAGAAAAATGGCTTCACCATGTGCCACAGAGTCACAAGTCATCTCATCTAACTATACAAGCAACTTTAAGCCACTGTAACATTGCTAAGGTCTGGTACAGTTGTACAAGTAATACTCGTTAAATGAGCATATTGAATATAATCCTTGTTTGGGTTAGAAGTTTTAGGTGAAACAAATTTGAGATATAAATATTTCTTATTGTGAATTCCTGTAAAAAATGTGCCTTGATTAAAACTTATCACGGGGTAAAGGCAGAGGTAACGTCTATTACTTTTTTCGATAACGGTAACATACCTTTTTTTTGTTGGAGTAACTAGTAACGTATTTTGATAATTTTTTTTTTGGTAATGAATACAACATTTGTGTTAATGCATGGCTATGCTACAAGTCTGGCGCAAATATAACCTGCACCCAAGTGGAGACACGTTGCTTCCGAGACCATGCCCGCTACCTTGATGCAGAGCAACTTTGCCCATGGGCAACATTAGATCCCTTCGTGGGTGAAGAATACTGGTCAGGTAGTGGAGAGGGGTGCAGGAATTGTTTTTCAAAATGCAGCATCTTCACAGCTTGCAGTACTGTGATTTTTGCAAAATGTGATCGCTGTGGCTTCCTGTGCGAATTAGCGAGCTTGTTTGAGAGTTGCAAAAAAAAGCTGAAGCCTGTTCACTGGCCTTTTAACATGGCCAAGGTTGTGCACACAGACATTCCATTTCTCATGGTGGGCTTGAAGTATCACCAGAACAAGAAGCATGACAAGCTAATGGGAAGACAATGCAAATGGGGCCTAATTACACTGTCGCGTTTCACTTTTAAAGGTGATTCAAGTTTCCTCTTCTTTTTTTTCTTTTTGAGTGCCATATAGTGAAGGAAAGAAAAACCCATTGTGTATACATTTACTCAAATTAAATGTAAAAATGAATGATAACAATGACTCCACCAAGACCAGTTGTCTTTTTTTCCAACTAAACCAAGTATACAAGAAAATTAAACCTGAACATTTTAGCATTACCTGAATCTGCAATACCGTTGAGAACCAAGATGCAGTGCATGACGACATCTTCAACATCTGAATACTTTTGGAGGTACTTGAGCAAAATATCAATGACACCTAAACGAAGGGCATCTTCTTGTATTTCTGAAATGGTACCAACATAAACCATGTGACAAAGTGCAACTTTCATGGCACATTTTGATAAGATTGCTGCAATATAAGTTCTATGGGCTATAACAAGCTCTTCAGGCTTGTTGAAACATCACACTCTTTATAAGCACAAGAACCCAGACTTCATTCAAGAGATTGGAGATAGTCTCATGGGTGATGCATGACAGAGCACAGAGCAAGAAAACAGAAGAATGATAAAAGACACATTAGTGCTGATGTATAACAAATTCTTATAGCAAATACAACAAACATGATGGAAGTCAGCACTTACTGTGCATCTACTCTTCCACCAGCCTTGTGTTTCCATGTTGTGAATTTTATTGTTACTTTCTATAACAAGTTGCATTAAAGCAGCAGCACACAAACCATGTGATCTAAGGGTCCCTTGTACCAAGACAGCAATTCCAACAGCAAGGTGGCTCTGAGGTGACACTCTTTAGGAAGCGTGGTCAACGATGAAAGTGTCTTGTTTTCCCTCGCACTTTAACTTTACGAGGTCAATGCAGTGGTAACTGCAGAGGTTACACAGTTACCTCTGCATATGACTGGGAAAGCTTAAGTGCTCTACTGAAACTTACATGCACACCACATAAAATATAAAACTGGTGGTTAATAATATCTGCTGTTTTACACGTTGAAACCCCAGTATTATCACGAGACACGCCATAGTGGAGGGCTGGGGAACTTTCGACCATCTGGTATTCTTTAACGTGTGCCGACATCACACAGTACACAGACCTCAAGCATTTTGCTTCCAATTAGATGTTACCACTTCAGCCGGGATTGAACCCTCAACCTTCAGGTCAGCAGCTAATAATCATACCACTACACCACTGTGGATTACTGCATCTAATGATTAACCCTTTACTATCGGATGTCACAAATTCGTGACATACTGAAAAATTTCGAGCAAGTAAGTCGCGAAATGCCTTCCACCTTTAAAGCTGGCTGTTAAGTATTCACAGGGCATGTAGCTTTCAGCATAAAAAACTTAGTGCTGTCTCGTCTAAGGCATTTTAAGCTAGGACCAATTGTTTTGGAGATGATGGCTGGAAGTGCGAAGCGTGTGCAACAGCTCTCACTTCGTTTTTCCTTGCCTTGGTGACCCAAGTTCTATCTTCAATAATTTTGTTTATTTGGAGTGTATGCACTCAAGAGATAGCACACAACATGTTGCGTACTTCTGAAGTGCGTTTTTTGTTGCAAGGTTCTCCCTCCCGTGGCATATCGAGAATTCGTGACCTACACAAAAGTATGCATTAAGGGGAGATGCGGGTCGAAAAAAGCGAGTTGTTTCAAAATTACCGATTTTTTATTTTAGCCTGTTTCGATAAGATTAGTACCTCTACTGTTATAAAAAAAATACAGGTCGAGACTTAACTGGAAATGCTTTAAAACTGCAACTAAAAAGCACAAGGCGCCTGTTCAAAGGTCCAAAGTGTGCAGTCTTCAAACACCTAGCCGTCGATAATTCGCCGCCACTCGCCATTGTTGATCGCACAAGCCGAAGAGTCGAGCCTCACTCTTCAAATACCAACAGTTTTCCTCGCTGATTCAGCGCAAGAAATAATAAAAAGAAGCACGGTTCTGCTCGTTTTTCGAGCGCCGCGACTGGCTTACCACGTGGTACCGATCGGGGACCGCCATTGGCCGCTGCGCGCCTGTATGTGCTGTGAAGCCTATTTGCAGGGTCCATGTCTTGTCAAGCAGCGTAGCTGAACAATGCTTTTCTCGTGTAATAATCTCCGTTATGAATGAAAAAAGCCATTGCTCGCAAGTGAAAGCCGTTGTGCGGCGCGCTCTGTAAGAATAGGCTACGAGCAGCCGGTCCGATTTGCGGCAGTTGTTGACTTGCAAAAGCCAACGCATCCAAAGTCATTCACACCCTTCAGCCGGAAAGTTTGTGATGCGGCAATGGATGACGTCAGCGCCAATCTTGTGTGGTCGAAACAGCTCGCAGTGAGGAAACTTAGCAGGGAGAACATTGCCATTATGTACGACGGTATGTGGCACAAACATGGCCACAAAATGGAGTGATACTGGACTTAGTTTGGATTTCGCAGTCCTGTCGAACTTCTTCCTAGCTTGACGTTAGCACATGGCTCTGCCAGATGGAGCCTAAGTTTGGCAAGCGTTTCATGGCCCTGTCTGTGAGGATTCGGCTCGAAAAAGCCGAGAGGGACAAACTTATGGTGCTGGCGTATTTTAGTGGCAGTGGCCACTACAAGAAGGATTGTTCTTTTTGGTTGTCAAATTTCATCAGATTTAATGATATCTTTTATAAATAAAAACCCACCTTTAACTTTAAAACTAATTTTTCTCAAAACACAAACTTTGCCATTTTTTTCAATGTGCCCCTTTTTCGGGCACTCCTAGTGCTCGGATCTGCATGAAATTTTGCCCAAATTTTTCCAAAGTATGGCAAATGCAATTATCTAACTTATATTTCAATATTTTATTGTATAATAAACAAACATTGTATGTAAACCTTTACTAAGGTAGGTGAAATATAGACTTTTTATGTCTATTATTTTTCACGCCTATTACATATTATGTATGTGCTTTCTAATTAGTTATTTTCATTCTACACTTTATTTCAAACATTATGAACTATGAATGATAAAAAATTACAGAAGTTCAGGGATGAAAAGAGCGAGGACAAAAAAATTTAAGTTTTCACTTTGTCATGTTCCAGAGCTAAAAGTATGCAACTTGAAAGAAAACTAATTATATATCTGATATCAGCATAAAAAGTTACATAAACAGCTCAAGTTTCATTGCTCTAGAGTGAATATAAAAAAAAAAGTGTCTTCGAGTAGCATCTCCCTAAAGTGCATGTAGATAATTTAACTGCAATGTCATTCAAAGGTTTCTATTTGAAGCTGAAAAATTAAAACAAATTCTATTTTGCTCAGCAATTTCATAATTCAGGCATTAAAGGGTTCAAAGCAGTTACCTTGCATATCCGTCAAGTTTAGGAGGCATCCTGAAACAACAGTATGCAGATCTTTTGGTGCTGAGTCAACTTCAAGAACATTTTGCAGCAGCTGCAGCAGCTGCTCTACACCTTGTTTAGCTCGAACAAGATCCCTGCCGTCATCTGAAACACAAAGCATTAAAGTATGTACCAGCGAACACCATCACTATACATCCCTGAATACAAAGCTGTAATGACAAGATGCCTAATGCGCAATATATGCCCCTATAAAGTGTGAAGAAAAATCATTGCATTTACCTGGTCATGTTTTAATTTAAATAGTCTGGAAGTCAAAGCTACAAATGTTTACACTGCAAAAAGTGGACCCACTTTTGAGAAATTATTTTATTACATGTAAAACACTTCCCATACAGTAGAGAAACCTTTGCTTTGGTAGGTTACTCATCTAGTCTGCTTATCTAGTATAGAGGTTTGTTGGTAACCACAAGGCTGCTTGGGTGAACAACCAACCTTGTTTGTCTGAAATGCTTAAATGCACAAAATGAAGGCAAGCAAAAAAAAAAAAACAGCTGCCAACCGATTTTTTTTAGGTACGGCTGCAGCTTTTGCAACATTACTGTAAGACCAATCAACAAGAACAAAGGCAACAAGACCTGTAGAATAACTTTACGGGGCTTAAAATCTGAAAATAACACCGAGGCTATGAGAGAAACGACGATGGAAAACAGGCTTTTTTTTAAACTGTATGAGGTGTTTTAAAGTGGGCTGAAATCTATGTGCAGGAATGTTTTTGCATTTTACCATCAGTGAAAGAATGGCATAGCCATTGAGCCAATCTGTAAGTGAACACAAATAACTGCTTTGCAACTTCAACAATCTGAAAACATTTGCAGCAAAGCAAATAGTTTCAATAACAAGGGGCAAAAAAAATAAATAAAATAAACAGCTTTCAGGAAAACAATGAACATAATTAAAAACCAACCAATAAAGGGGTCCTTCCAAGTTTGGGCATTGCCAAAAACAAGCAGAGCACAAAGGTCATGTGGTGGTGATTGTATCCACAAAGCAAGAAACATCTGTGTGGCCCAAAACTAGTTAAAGTTTTACAGAACTTTGAACATCACTCCTCTTGGAAGAAGCTGCACTTGGACGAGAACAAGGACCATAAACACAAATGTTCCTGCACAAAATGCCTGGTTGCACGGTAGCAAGACAGTATCCCCCCCCTTTTTTTTTCAGCTCCTCTAACAATGAACCAATTAAAAAATTCTTCCCGTAAAACATTCCCTCGAAGTTGACTTCCATTGTATAAAAATATAGGCTATGGGAACTGTTGAGGCCTTTAACAAGAAACAAAACCTAACCCTTTAGACATTATTATTACGATTACTTGAAATAAAAGTGTGTCATCCAGACAAGGACTAAGACATGGACAAGCGTGCACTACCAACTTAAAGTTTAATTGTAAAGTCCTGACAAGTCTATATTGACATAAAATTTTCGTAAGCACATACGATCAGATGGCATACGATCACCAACTTGCCCAATCTGTTATTTTGACAAGTTACTATTGTGTTTTTCTTTTGTCAAGATTCAATATGTCATTTCTATCTCCCCCCATCAAGGTGGAAAGACAGTGTTGATGAAGGTTGTCATCTGGTAAGCTTTCCACTGTTATGGCTAGTATTTTTCTCCATCGTGATGATGATTACCAGTTTGACTACTGCACTGGCATGTCATTTTTTTAGTTTTATGGCCCTCTCTAAATGAGCATACGTATTTACAAAGGCTCTCTTAGGATATGCATACGCAGAAATCAAATCATTACAAAGAAATTGATGCCTAATTCTTCAAACTGCTTAATGTCGCAAAAGTTGTCATGTTGTTCACTACTTCAAGGCCGAGTAGTGTGTAATTCCGTGCTTTATTTGTTTCTACGCTTTCTTCTGCAAGTCAAATGCAATATTAACTACTTTATTGCACAAGCTTTCAATGTCTACCTATTGCTGCCTACACTAGTAGGAGCAACTTGATTTGCCGACGAGCCAAATGAATGCACATTTTTTTTCTACTCAATGCCCTCTGTTTAAGGCTGAACAGCACTCCCAACAAAAGATGAAAAATATGTTCGATGTAAACACACATATACAGTGTACCTCCTTCCAGTGGCAAAATTTTCATCATCTATTTTGATTGACATGAGTGTTTGGGCAAATTGATAATTCATAGTTAAAATTTCAACAGCACGGGAAGAAACACAAATGCACGAAGAGACTTGAAACAAAGATGACACTGTTACTTTTTTCGTTCTTACTTTCTTTTCTTCTTTTTGCACACAAAGGTCCCAACCAGATTTTAAAACATAAGATGTTACACTTACCATTATCATAACAGATATTTCCAAGAGCACGGCAAGCTTGGAGCACCACTGCATAGTTTTTATGAGATACAAGTACCAGGAGTGGATCCACAACTGCTCCATCTGTCAACTGTTTTCTCAGCGGCTCTGTCAGGAGATATGAACAAGTTCTTTCAAATAGTTGCTAACCTGAGTGAAATGGTTAAATTTCCTATAGATTTCTGAAGGACTAAAGAAAGAAAGACAAGATGCTATCAGTGTTGGCATCGAAAATTGAAGTTACATGCAGTTTGTTCCAGTTAAGAGAAAGCAGCTGGCATAGGTCACAATATTTATTTATGATTATATTAAGCTGTTAAATGTTTTGAAATTGGAAATGAAATAGTGAGGGTAACTTATAAAAGGCAAATTTGCACCACAAAAAACACAAAAAACAACACTACTCCTGTGGTCACTAAAAGCTACTTTAAGTGAATTTCACGTTTTCTGAAATTCAGACATTAATAGCGAAAATTACAACACTCTAACACAAGAATAGTTTTTTTGGCATACAAAAAAAAAAAAATGCCAAGTATGCTCCAAACATATATATTCCATTCAAAGTTTGTAACTTTCAAGAAAAGAATGCCACAGAGCGTACACCAGTATTAACCATTGCACTCCTGGGCTTTTTTTTAGCACTACTACACACCCCCTGCAGTTTTTTTTTTTTTTTGCATGCTATGTGAAAGGTATGTATGAATACAGTAGGATAGGTGATGTAAACACTTTTATTGGCAATTATCTCATAATATAAAAAGTACCGCTCACAAATTATTTACTACAAGAAAATTGTAAGAAATTAACAAACTAACAAGATCATATAATTAGAGTGACTAAGCCACTCAATCTTATTAAGTGCCCAAATTCCCTTTAAGCTCCTGAATTTTTTCCTCTGTCAAATAACACGTACACATGGCACACCGACTTGCACGACATGGCTGCGCTGCAGTAAACCTGGCAAAGAGATGCGAATGGGCATATGCGTCACTTCCCATACTATCCCAGCAGATGGAGCACTAGTTCTGATGTTGAAAATGTTGACAAGTTATATTTATATGTGCTCTCCATAGATGTGAGACATGCCATTCTTTTTTTCCACAGGAATTGTCTTCCAAGTGGCAGGGTGTGATTCGTAGACACAAATCTGATATACACGTGATTTACAGGTCTTGTGCATGTGCCATCTCCCAAGGTATCTCGAGATTGGTAGAGAAAGGGTTAAGAAAATCATTCCTATTTGACTTATGTAAATTTTGAGATCACAAACTGATTTACAAAGCTAAAATTTCCAATTTAATTTTCACATCTCTCACAAATGTGCTCACTACTTCTGAGTTCTGCTTGAACAACAGTGTTTTAGGAAAACTGTCAAGTTCTGGAAATCATTTTATAAATTTTTTAAAAATTTTTGTAAGATACACAGGTGTTTCATAACTTTCCACAAGATAATTTTTGAACTTACCTGAGTGCCAATCAATGCTAGAGAGCAATCAATATGGCCAATAGAACTTAATGGTCTCTACGGTACTATGCTTTTCAGTTGCAGAAAAAAATAACACCAAAAATATGCTTAGATTAAATTACATCAAATGCATCACATGTGAAAATCCACTAAATGATTAAAGTAGATTGATTTCAACAATTAAATCATATTTGAAGTGAGGAAGAGGGATATCAATGAGTTACAAAACACAGAAGGCTATTTGTTGCACAGTAAATAACGATTTCATGCTTAATGAAGGCACAACCTGTTCTTGTTGCTAATGTTGGCTGGTATTCAACTGCTAGCCCATACTTGACTTTTTTAGTGAAACTTCATACTCGAGCTCAATATAGCTTTGTAGGCCTTCCTTAGGTGCTTTGCGCCCTTTAGATTTCATTTTTTGGCTTGAGTGGCTCTAATGTGCTGCTTCAAACATGCAGAACAGGAATTTAAAGAAGCATACACATGATGTGCTATGCTACAAACAGCAACTGCCGTGGATTGACTATGTTACTAATGTACATAAATTCTGCATAAATGAAAGTTGATTAAAAGCTCTCATATGCCTCCAGCTGGAACATGTTCATGCACCTGACAGGAAGTAGTGCCATTATTATACTTCCCAGACTTCAATGACATCTATGAAAAAGAAAGGGCAAATGTTCTATTGACATTAAACTATGATGCAATTAGCAACGTTCAATGCAGTAATCTGCATTCAGTATGCGAGGTTACCATGTTTGTAAATGTTTTTACACCCAAGTTTGTATCCGGTACACTAGGCAGGTGCAATGGATAAACGTTTATTTAAACGAAAAATGTAAGTGCAAGAATATACAGACAGGAGCTTTGTCAGGCACCGCCGTCCTAATCACAGAAATGCAGTAGATGGCAGAAAAGTTGAATGGAAATCGAAATTGTAAAGAGATATATTAGGCGAACCAGGACTGGACTCTTTGTCAATCACTGCATATGTACTCCTTTTGCATGAGGCATATATAAAATCGCAACCAACCATATTTGGCCGCTTCAGCTATCACTTGAACAAGATGAGTCAAAGTTTCTTCACTGATGGTCGAGGAAGACTTCAGAAGATCTTTTGTGGAGCTTACAAATACACTCTTCAAGAGACGCTCACACAGCTGCTGCCGGCTAGCTTCCGACTTGGAAGGTTGCTCTGGTCAACACAAACGAATCAATACACAAGAGTTAGACACTAAATACCTACTATACACCATTGGCAAATCTAGAGGGGGCGGTAGAGGCGATTCCCCCCCACCCAATCTTTGTCAGCGCCCTTTCCCCTCAATTCAGTGCTCGTAGTCCAGCTCATATAACAAATTAGGTCAAATGAGTGAAACCCTGTGAGCACACATTAACAGTATTTAAGCTATAACAGTTTTTTTTTTCTGCTAATAAAAGTCATGACCCCGCGCTCCTCTCCGGTGTTACTTTGGGTGACCGCCCCCACCCCTCCCCTCAAATGAGTGGCTAGATCCACCCCTGCTATGCACAATAAAGTTACAAAAGCACACACACGTGCACACGACGCATGCCACTTGTGGTGTCGTTCTCGCTCAGCGAGAGTCGTTTACGCTGGCATTCACTTCCTTATATGCCACACAAACTGGCCCAACGCCGCTCCCTTAGTAACTAATGTGCGTCACAACCCAGTTTAACTTTGCAGCGAAAACCGAACGCTGCATTGCGCACGAGCAAGATAACTCTTACCATCAGCTGCGAGGAGGGCCAGGAGAGACTTCAGGCGAAGACATAAATCGGCATCGACCACCTTTTGTTCTTCGCCAACGCCGAGCTTAAGTCCGTCAAGTATTTCTGTAATGTTTTCTGAAATCAATTCGGTCGTGTTACGAGCAGAAATGATGCGCCAGAGAGTGCACGACGAACGCTTTCACGTAATTCAGAAGGCATACAAGTGAGGAGAAAATGGTTGAAGCAATTAGTAGACAAAGGTAGCCGCATAAAAAAAAAAAAGGGAGAAGAAGCGAAATTCCCATGTTTTTTTCAACCCCCAGGCTGCATCAGAGCTGGCTCTTTTTCAAACTTTTGCATATGCATTCTCCATTCCAGTTGGTAGGAAAGTGCTCGCGCACGCTGTCACGCCCTTCCCAGGGATGTCGACTGCTTATGCTACTTCGCAACAGCTGATAACCAATATCAATAGTTTTCTTCCACATTCGTAAGGAATACGCACCCATTGCACACGCAGCTGACAAGAGTGTCTTACTGCACGTAGTAGTGGGTGCTAGCGGGGCACATCCGCATCATTTACGTGACTCTTCACCGCTGTAGCAGCGCAGCACGCCAACATCGAAACAAGAAAAGTAAGCCATATACAACGACTGGATGTGGCAGTGGCCAGTTATCGGATGTGGATGCGTCTGCAAGTCCGGCTCGCCGTGAACTGGCGGTAAATTTGGTTTTTGTGTCGCGGATGGCATGTTGTTCTGTCGACAGCTTAGCTAGTGCAAAAGAAGTCCTTTGGTGCCAAATGACTCTGGTAAGTACAACGATGGGCTGTCGCCGTGGCGTGGTAGCTTTTATAGGCCCCGTTTGGGTCTGCTTGCAAGGAAAAACTGATTACACTGCACACTTAGAGCTGTACCCTTTTCTGAAATGTTGGGGGGCAGAAGAAAGTTCTTTTCCGGAAATTTCGGAAAGAATGCTGAAAACTGGAATGAAATGAACTAATGCCTAGAGTGTCGACACCTCCATGCTAGCAAAATGCGGAACTTTTTTACCAGAAAAAAAAGGGGGGGGGGTCACAGTGCATAATGAAAAATTAACTAGCGCTAGTGTGAGCTTCATTGAATCTTTCGTGCGCTCCTTCGTCATAGCTTGAGCTGGCTAATCGGTTAAGGGCTGCGCCAGGGTTAATGGCTCATCTTGATTTCAGGTATATCTAAGAAAATTTTCCATATTTTATTGTATGATATGCGCTCAATAAGAAAGCGTTTGACCTTCGTTTAAACGAAAGAAGCGGAATTTCAAGGGCTCTTTTTATTAGACACCATAGGCGTGCGCACAAAAAGGAGTGGGTGGCGGTCGCCCCCTTCGTCACCTAAGAGAAGAGCTCAGCTGTTAAAAGTTATTTCACATGTCCATAGTAAATTTTTCAGGATTTTAGGAAAATGTGCAACCAACGGCGTAGACAGATGAAGACTACCGCGTCTATGGCGTGGTTCAAATGGACGTTGCTCCGAATGTGTGGGCACAGGCATGCGCAGTGACCAATTAGGCGGAGAGAAGAGCTGTGGTGAAGAACCAGAGACCGATGGCGCTTTCTACCAACCGAGCTCACCAGGGGGCTCTGCGAGTATTAGCTAACTGGCAACTCTAAGCAGAGCACTAAATAGGGCAAATCGCACATCAGGTTGGGCAAAAATACTTTGAAATAATATTGTGATACGATACAAAATACTCGGGCATAATGTGGTTGAGATGCAGATACAAGATACTACCACAATGATTGTATGCGAAACAGTACTTTCCAATTGTATGCCAAATTTATTTCGATTCATTCGAAAATTTTTGTGTAGATCGTGATAATGGAGCAGCAAATCCATACGTATACATTTTTGCTTGAAAACTTCTTAACTGTGAACAACTTCGTGAAGTTTCGATGAAATATCTCAGTATCCCGAAAATTCTGTTCTTCTTGCTGAAAGTATATTAGTTATTTCCGAAACAACTTATCAGGACTGGTTTGGCTGCTTAACATGACAGTTCTTTATACGCTGCGCGGTCCATGGTTCTTGCGTGTCACTTTGTCATTGATGGGTGTCGCCGCTCTGATTGCTGACCAGTTAGCGGGTTGTTATATACTTGCATGAGCGTCCATAACAAGCTCTTGCTCGATGGTGCAATTACCGCTGTGCAGTCTTATCTTGTCCGTGAACACATTACTGTTTTCGCACTACCGGATCTCGCGTCCGCTGCCCAGCAGCGTTTTTTAGCTGGTAGCGTTTTTAGGTGTGAAGCAGCTCTTTGATTAGCCTGTATAACACTGTCCGTCCGTGTCTCCGTGCCAACGTGCCTCACCGCGCTACCCTCGCCGCAGTTGCTGGAACGATGCCGAGTAGGTCAAATCGCAGCTGTGCGTCGACGTCACTTTCTCCCTCACCCGCTGCAGCTGCTGGCTTCTCCGCCAGCTCGTAACACACTACTCCCTCGCTTCACCATCCCCACCACGCGCAACGCTCGACTGCATTTCGAGTGGAAACATAGACAGATATAGTTGCGCTTCTGCATTAGACAAACGGACGCAGCCTGCCATTCGAAATGGCTAGCAGGCTGCTGCGGACGCGTGACTAAATCTGTCTACTCTTTCGGCTCGTTTATCTGCGATTAAACTTACACAAAACCCAACCCACCTCCCGGGTCTTTGCGTTTCAAACAAAGGTTTACTCCAGTAAACGATACACCGAGTTTCGATTCAAACCATTTTTCCGGCACTCGCGTCGACGCCCGTCTCAAGGGAGTCAACGCGGGTGTGGGTACCGAACATGGGTGGGTATCGAACATGGGTGGGTATCGAACATGGGTCGTTTAGGTCAGAGGGAAGATCGAACCAGGGTCGTTTGCGTGGCAAGTGAATGTTCTACCTGACGGCCACACGTCTTTTACAGCGAAAGCTGTTACGCGATCACAACTCTGGTCAAGCGCAGTTGTTCTCCGCCGGTGTCCGTAACCACATCGCGTGAATTTAGAAAAAAAAATTGCATTAACGACACATTGGGACTCGAATCCAGGTCCGCTGGGTTCCAGCCCCTTATTCTACCACTGAGCTAGACCCGTGCTTGTGACTTTTATGGCAAACTTGCCTTAGGCAGACTTGCTGTCGGGAAAGCAATCGGGTTATTGCGACTTATAAAGCGTTTTAACACAACGAAAAAACTACCAGTCGTCGCATAATGCGAACAGCATAATGAGTGGGCCGTGCAATGCTCCAACCCATTACAAAAGCTTGTTCTTGTTCCCCTATTAACTGTAGTGCATACCCACTCCAGCCATAATTCCTCATCGTCGTCAGCTGCTGCATGAACAATTGGCACAAAACTCCTTGCAAGTGTTCAGCGGATACCGTGCTTCTCAGAAGAATGACGAAAAATAGCATAGCAAATGCCGGCCTACTGCCCGAAAATTTTTATTATTAATGCCCTTGTGGGTATGAAGCAAGTGTGCTTGCAATAGTTACCCACTGAGTGTTTTGAAAAGGCCCTGAAAGGCCGCTCTTTCCAGCTTTCGCTGTGACTGTGCTGCGCCTTCTGCGCAGGTCTGGCTGATTTTTTTTTCATGGTACTTATTATAATGCGTATTTTAAATTATAACATTTGCTTTGGCGTAGTGATGCATTCTCTCAGCCACAATAATCGCATAAACACTGCACAAGCATTCAAAGGCTTACATACACAGATACCGTTAGCAAGTCCAGAAAAAAGAGCAAAAGTTCTTCAAAACGTTGGTGAGGATGAGCACCTCATCAAGATGGGTTACCAGTTTGGCGTGAAGTCAAGTTCTTCATAATTGTTCTTTAGATGAAGAGCCATACGCATGAAATGCATACTTGAAGCAGTCGTTGGCTCTACATTATGGTGTTACAGGTGCGTTTCCCACAGTCTGTGCAATCCCATAAGAAATAACATATGAAAGGGCACTTCATCAAGACATGTTGGGAGAAGGTAACGTATATTATGCGAGTTAATGTAAAAATCTTTTTTAACGGTTCGTTAAATGATGTTCCAAAATATAATGACATTGTTGCAGCTAATGAAGCAGTGTTCTATGGCCTATTGCACATCGCATAGATGACAATTAACTGAAGAAACAAAAATATCCTTCTTTTGCAACCATGATTTTACCGGCAGCGTACTGTATGAAGTTTCTAAAAGAAGGTTTTCGTAGGAGAAATATACATTTTCCGAACTCGTTTTAGTGCACCCTGCCCTGGAAGGTCGGAATATGATGAGCGGTAAAGTGGTCACGTGTCTGCTTGCGAATACAGTGAAAATAACTTCCACTGCTTGGAAATGCAGTGAAAATAACTTTCATGCTTTACGAACACACCCGTCGTGTATACCTGCTTCACAATACAACATGAAAGATTGCAGTCATAATGCGTGGTAAAAGCGTACACTGGCACCGGGTGTCAGATCATGTGATTATCACGACTTCGTGGTTTAAAGTCAGTCACCCATTACACGCAGGGGCTGATCCAGCCACTCATTTTAAGAAAGGGGGCGGGGGCGGTCGCCTAAAGTACCACTGGATATGGGGGCGTGGCCATTACTTTTTGTTTTTTCTTACAATTTGGGGGTGCTAGCACCCCCTGTAATGTAGCTTGCGCCTCGGGCGCACGTGTAAAGCGCATAAGCAGTTTCGGGTTCACAACTACCAAGCAGTAGGTGGCGTTGCGCTCACTAGCGTTTGTAATCACCACCATAATCATCATCATTCTTAGACGGATTGGATGATGGATTGATGTGGCTGTACCCTTTGCATCGGGTGGCGGCTAATGCCACCTAGCCGTAATACTTAGTGACCCAACAACCAGATTTATCTTTTCTTTCCCTTTAAATAGTGAAGCTGAGGACGGGTACTTTGCAGTGAAGGGTTTAATTTTCACTCGTGCCTTGAATATAGCCTCCAATCAGATAACCTCCTCTAGTTAATTCCACACGCTTAAAGTCTATTTTGCCCTCCCTGTCCCTAAACCCCAGTGCTTTGAAAACTCTGCGTCATCATCCTGAACTATAGGGTGAAGCCCTTTACAGAACATTATCAAGTGTTCGGCAGTTTCCTCCTCCTCTCCACATGCACTGCATACCGTGTCTACCCCTTCGTATTTGGCCCGATATGTCTTGGTTCGCAATACTCCCGTCCTGGCCTCAAACAGTAGAGAACTACCCCGAGTATTATCATAGATCCTTTCCTTGGCAATTTCCCGCTTAAAAGTTCGATAGATCTCTAGTGCTGACTTCTTAATCATACTAATTCTCCACATATCTGACTTTAACCGACAGTTCTTTTTGGTTTGGCCCCCTGCTCTTTTTTAAGTACTTACCCGTGAAACTTCTGGTTCGCTTTTTCCATTTTGTATCGACATTCCTCATGTACAATTAACCTTCCTAGTCCAACGCTCCTCCCCCATTTCTCTCAATCGCTTCTCAAATTTTATCTTGCTGCTAGCTTCCCTGCCCTCAAATGATGTCCATTCCATATCACCTTGTACTTCCTGATTTGGTGTATTCCCATGAGCTCCTAAGGCAAGCCTACCCATTCCACGTTGCTTAATTTCTAATCTTGCTTCAACTTCTGATCTCAT